TGATAAACAAACAAATGCGAATAGTTGAAGAAAATTTCAATTTAAGTTTTGAAGATTACTATGTTAAAAGAGTTGAATATGAATTTCCTCAGAAACCAATTCTTTCGGATTCTAATGAGGAATCTAGACAAATTCTTACTTTTGATATCGACTTCGATTCGCTTTTTGGTAATCCTAATAGAGCAATTGATGATGAGGTTAATATCGATGAAAATCAAGTTCCTGAAGAATCAAGCATTCTGACGACTCAACTATTATTGATGGACGCACAGATGAATATTCATCTTCGATACCAAGAGCTCTTGTCGAAGAGGATCAAACTTTCACATCTGGTCATGTTAAGGGGGGAATTTGGTAACACAACCTCAATTCGAGGGAGAGCCATTATCTTCGGATGCTAGTTTTAAGGGGGAGCAATATGTAGTGAATCCATATGTTTAAGGGGAGCCAAGTCAAACATATATCGAAGATGATAATGAAGGACCAAGTAATGATTATGATGACATTAATGATACTTTATTTGTTTTAGAAGAATTTTTAGAGACTGAAGAAGTATTTGAGGATGCTCATTTGGATTTTGATCCATCATTTCCTCCTATGGAGAAATGGACTCGTGACCATCCCAAAGAAAAAAATTTGGTAATCTAATTTCGGTGTGTTAACAAGAGAAAATGTTAGAGAAAGAATCGAAGTTCTTAATGTTCACCAAGAGTTTTTCTTGTTCAACGTTTTTATTTCTAAAATTGATCCAAAAGTAGTCAACACTACGTTAGAACACGTGATTGGGTTGTTGCAATTCAATTTGAATTGGCGGAATTTGAATGAAACAAAGTTTGGAGCTTAATTCCTAAACCAGGAAAACGTTTATGTGGTTGCATTAAAATGGGTTTTCAAAAACAAAGTTGATAAAGAAGGTAATATAGTTCTCAATAAGGTAATATTAGTGGTAAAATTTTATTGTAAACAAGAAGCAATTGATTACAATGCAACCTTTGCTCCTGTCGCAAGAATCAAAACAGTGTAATAGTTTATTGCTTATGCAGCTCACAAGAACTTTGATGTGTACCAAATGGACGTGAAGTGTGAATTCCTCAATAATGTACTCGAAGAGACTCTCTATGTTGAACAACCACACGGTTTTGTGAACGATAAGTTTCTTAATCATTTTTATATCCTTGACAAAGCTTTTTATGGGTTAAAACAAGCACCACATGCTTCATATGCAACCTTGACCATTTTTTTTGAAGATCACTAAATTTAAGTAAGGATTAGTTGATCCCACATTATTTTGAAATAAAGTGGGGATCATTTTTTGATTGTTCAAATTTATTTTGATGATATAACTTTTGGTTCTACTAACCCTTCATTGTTAAAGAAATTTGAAGAAACAATGAAATGGAAATTCTAGATGAGTATGATGGGTAAGATTAATTACTTTTTGGGACTAAACATTATCTAAAGCAAATAAGGAATTTTAATAATCAAGAAATTACACGAAGAACTTGCTTGAGCGATTTGGAATGAAAAATTGTTAAGATGCGAGGGTTCCCATGGCATGTGGCACTCGCTTAAATCCTTCGTTGGATTAGCCAATTGTTGATTTGAAGACATATCAAAGCATGATTGTTTCATTACTATATTTAACTACAATTCAACTTGATATTATGTTTTTTATTTGTAATTATGCCAAGTACAAAGGAAACCTAAGACAACCACATCTCACAACTACTAAAATATCTTTAAATATTTACATCACACTCCAACTTTAGGATTGTGGTATCCAACGAATACATGATTGCTTATTCAAGCATTTTTAGATGCGGATTTAGGAGGTTGTCAAATGGATCAGAAAAGCAAAACAGAAGGATCTCAATTTCTTGATGGGAAACTTGTGAGTTGGAAATTCTAGAATCAAACAAGTGTGTTAATATCTACAGAGGAGGTTAAGTATATTGCTACTACTTTTTGCACTTCACAAACGATTTGGATTCGAAGTCACTTGCATGACTATGCGCATAACATGAAGAAAATTCCTTTATTTTGAGATTCTCAAAGTGCAATTTGTATTTGATATAATCAAATTTAGCATTCTAAAGCGAGACATTTTGCACTTTGATATCATTTCATCAAAGATCATGTTGACAATGGAAATATCGAAATTCATTTTGTGAAAACCATAGATCAATTGGCATATATTTTTACTAAACCACTTGATGTAAAATCTTTTCTAATAATCTCAAAAATGGATTAGGAATGATGGAAGCTTGTTATGTTCCAACCTCTAAATAATCTTTCTTTTCTTTGAAAATCGAAGGTTTTCATTAAACTTCGCTATTGATATAACTTCATTCAGAGGTTATTGTTCATATTTAGAGCTTCGATATGCTTCATTTCGAAATTTTCTCTAAAGCGTTTAGCGATTCTTGCTAACAAGTGAAGGAGTAGCGAAGGTTTTATTGAGATTCTAGCGAAGGAGTAGCGAAGGTTTAATCATGGATCCTTTGTAGGACTATTCGTTGTTATGATCGAAAGACTAGTGAAGGTATTATTTTCCTTTTTGTCATAGAAAACTTCAAAAATTATAAAAAGATTTTGTTTATTTTTGTATTTTATTTCTAAAACTCAAAAAAATTCAATATGATTTTCTTTATTTTTTTTCTTTTATTTCGAACAATCAAAAACCCAAAAAGATTTTCTTTATTTTTTTATTTTATTTCCAAAATTCAAAAATACAAAAGTATTTTCTTTATTTTAGTATCTTGTTAGATATTTCATTGTAAGACATGTTGTACATATGCATGTACAAGCGAAGCTCAACAGGGATCATGCATGATTAAATACTCTTTGACTAGTTAAGTGCCCCTAGAAGTATGTTGCAACTTGTTGTCCAAAGCCTCTCTAACTCATTGTTTGCGAAACCTTAGTGAAAAATTTATTTGAAAGACTTCTTCCCAATAGGCTATATTAACAATAATCCTCGAGGTACCTTTCCCTTCTCAATTTGATTTAAGAGATGACTGCATGGTTATATTTTTTGCAGAGATATAATTAATTCATTTATCAAACCTTTTTCACCTAAAATTTCTTACACTTGTACGCACCATGATGCATATCCCAATACATCTCTTTTAAAAAAAACTAGGATTTAGGTGTGACAAAAATCTATGTTTATGATCCCAAGTCATTTTTCCATGATCAGGGTTAGACCCAACAAACCTTATACCTTAAGGAATTGACGGTGACCAATTTTATTGTTCAAGAATTTTTACAAGGAATTGATGAATGAAACCTGATGTTTTGATGTATCTTTTCAAATGTTCAACATCTCATTATCATTTTTTATGCGTGACCTTCATGAAATGTGCTTATCCCAAGTCATTTCTTACCAATAGACCGAGTTCTTTATTTTTTATGAATTGAGATTTCTGTATGAACATTTACTTCGAACCTTAGTCACTTACAAATTTTCTAAAGCTTACTTGATGTTGATTACACTTATCACTCAAGTATTATCTGATGATGTTTTGCTCTTATGTTAATTTGCAAACTTGTTTGAAAGTTAATACTTTTTAATCGAGGCCATTCGATACTTCTCAATTAGCATTCGATTGTAATTCATGGGAAACCACACTAGCACTTTGATTTCTCTCTTGATATCGAATGAAGAGAATGATTGCCCGAGATCATACTACCTTTATATCAAATTTTGTTTGATATCACAATTTATCCAAAATTTTTTTATTTTGTTTCTATTTTTTCATTTGGAACACATTGGCACTGAAATCCTCAAAGTTGTGGGTATTACTAACCCATACCAAGATTTTGCAAAGTTTGGCTTATGATTTCATTTATTATTCTCATAATTGAATGAGACCTAACCATAACTATCAAATATTGGTCCTTGGAAACCATAGAAGCATCATGATTGTTTGATTCTATTGGTGATGATGAAGTAACCATTGGGGAGTGACGTTAGTGTAGCTTTCTCTTGGATCAAGAAAAACAATCATTATGTCGATATGTGGGAGAACGGGATGGTGTCACTTCAGTTACCTACTTTACACGTGGAAGTTCTTTACCAGGGCTTGGTTCAAATTTGAATTTCATGTTAGTTATAAAAGAAAACTCAACGGTTCAATTGAATCTTTCTGATTCCCTGAATTTACATAAGAGCCCTTACCATATTTTCTGATCATCATCAAAATTCTCTCTTGATCATCATTTCTACTGATAATATTGTTGTTGATCACTTCCATACATTTGAAGATGAAGTTTTTGTGACTAATATGAAGATTCAATACAACAACGACTGGTTTAAATTGTCAATCAAAGCATACCCTGAAGAATTGAAGATATTTGTTAAATGTTTGAATGATTTTATCCTTGCTCATGATTTGAAAACTTCATTTTCCATTTCGATGATATGGCTATCACTCGCTGGTGCTACAACTATATACAACAATACAATGATAATCGAAAGGAAACAAAAGATTTGACAACAAGTAGTTTTCCCAAATTCCTCAATTGCCTTCTGATGGTTCGTTTGAAGTTCATATGAATGAACAAGTACTTCAAATTTTAATGAAATGGGATATCAACCTCCAATTTCTCTTGTTAGTAGCTTTAAGATGTGAAACCTTCCAAGCATATGGAGTTTTTTTCTTTGAAGTTACCATTCGCTGTTTAACTGGAAGGAGTTATGGTCTGGACAAGGAGAAACTTCAATTCCATTATGTTACGGCTAGTCTATATTACGGATGAACATTGATTATGGTTTTTTTATTTTGGGTTGAATTTACCATGCATGTCAAACACTCGAAGAAGAATACTGAGATAGCCAGTGCTCAATTTTGGAGTCTTATTTTACAGGAAGCATATAGTCAAGCCATAATTATGGTTCCAGAACATGTTGAGGTTTCTCAATTTTCACATCTTCATATTTTTAAGGCTGCATTTGATAATCCAATTGTTTTCCCATTGTTCGGAGTATTCCCGATACCATGCTCCAACTGGTGTCTGAATCGAAACAGTTGTTGATTCATTACAAATATTCAATGGATCTTACATCTTCTGGTCCTATCCCAATGAAGGTGACATTTAAAGTGATAAATGGAGCATATAAAGATTCTAATGTTATTAAGAAGAAGTCCACATTGGACTCAAATGTAGTTGTTGGTAAAGATGGTTCTGAAAAGCGTGTTTCTGATTAGTCTGTCAAAGATGGTTCTAAGAAGACTGTAAAAGTTGTCTCTGAGAAGAAAGTTCAGGGTGGTTCTAAAAAGGTTAGAAAAGATGGTTCCTGAGATAGTTACTAGGAATTTACATAAGTTGAAGTCAAAGTCCAAGTCTTTATGAGTTGTTATAAAAGAATTTACTTATGAAGAGCCACAAAAGAATAGGAAACACAAAGATGCTGGGTTTTTGAAATGCTTTAAGAAGTTAAGAGCTCAGACATTCGAAAAGACTTCTACCATAGCTACACCAATATCAAATACTTTTGAAGCAGATCACGATAGCAAAGAGGTAGAAGATGAATTTCTTGGAACTGATGATATAACATTCCACATTTCACCATGAAATGATGGCACTATTTAATCGAATACCGAGAATACAAGCTATCTTGATGTCACTGTACATGCATTTAACATGGATACAAACATCAATTTTAGTTGAACTAATCACCACTTCGCTTCTTGAGACAACTAATGTTACTCCACCTAGAGGCTTTATTTCCAAGTCCAATATGGAGGATTATAGGTCTTCGAACATCACTAAGAACTTATTAATAAGGACGCAAATGTTACTATAGATGACGAGACTTTGACATCTTCTCTAGACACTATAACTATTCCACCACCACCACCTTCGTCTCCACCTCCAACTTCAACTATCACACCAACAATAATTCCAGTTATTTCACCTACATTTGCAGGTATCATCAATGAGCCTATAAATTCTTTATTCTTTTCTCAATCGACGGATCAAGAACTGCTGAATAACGAAGAAGATGAACTAGTTGAATTTGCTGAGCTTAAATTAGATCCTGAAGAAGTAAATGTTGATGACAATTCAATCATGTCACGCAAGCAGTATAAAATTTTGAACTTCAAACTCAACATTATTCTTCTGTCTTTAAATGATAATGTTGGGAAGTCTTCTATGAGTGGTGAAGGGGGTGAGTTTTTAGTGAAATCTCAAGAGTTGAAAATGAAGACTTTGATAAATAGTATTGTTATCAATTTAGAAGAAAGTCTTGCAACTCAATCTAGTTCTTATAAACATGAAGTCAAGGAATTATAGAATGTTGCTTGTGAAAGGCACACATTGTTTGAAAAAACTGGTAACTTCATCATAGGATTCAATTATTTCAAAAGTTCAGGAATCGACTGATTTTTTTCCCAATGAAGTGGCGAAGCTTGATAAGTTCTATGTGGGAACTAAGGATAATTTTGATGTTCTTATGGGAGCCACTCAAACCTTGATTGAAGATATTTGAGCCTTTTATAAGGAATATATATGAAAAATGAAGCTCAAGAAGGAATCTGATGGCAAAGTGTTTACAAATATTGAGAAATCTCTTACAATTTTTATGATTTTTTATCGAAGTTGGATTTTCCATCAACTTTGATATCACAAGAACAAATCTTGTCTATGGTTTCCTTAGTGGAATCATGTTTTAAGTCTCAACCAGAACCAATCCTAGATCTTGCTGTTTGATTACCCACCAATGTTCCATGACTATCAATGATCATCTCACAAGGGGGTGATAAGGTGGGTGGTTCATCGAAATATGGTGGAGAAGATAAAGGAAAATTAGTTCGGAAGTTGTACTCCGCTCAAATCCCAAATTCACTACCAATGAAATCCATTATGACAACTTCAACTATGACTGCTACACCAAATGTCGATGTTGATGTGTCATAGTATAATTGAAGAAAGGTCTGAACATAAGCGAAAGAGGGTTAAGTTCTTCAATAGCCAAACCTATTGTGAATTTAAAGCCAAAGAGAAAGGAAAAGGTGTTCATGTGGAAACTACATCAGAAGAAAAGAAGATGCTTCAAGCGCTTGAATTTGAAAAAATGAAGTAGCCGAATAACATCAAGAGAATGATAGAGAAAAAACCACATGGTCCTGATAATGGAGATCCAAACAAGGTGTCGTGTTATGGAATAATTGAAAATGTGGCATATGGCAAAGTGGATGCATTTGACAACATACCAAAGAATTTTTTTGCCATTGAAGATTCATATTTCAACCAACTGGAGATTCCATTTAATTATGCCATGTTTACTTTTGCTAAGTTCAAGCTTGCTGAGAATTTTAAATATATAGAGGCTTTTAGGAAGATGAGGATTCTTTTTCGTGTTGTTCTTTGTATGAAGGAAGAATATGTATGATCTTTGGTGAAAATTATCAAACTGATATCGATAACTCTTGATGTTATGTTCGAATGAGTCTTGAATGATCTCATCATAAGTATGAAGATAATAGGGCGGGGGTGGGGGAGGGGGGGGGGTATGAATAATCACTGGGTACAGGAGAAAGCTTCTTACATCATTGGATATGGTTATATCAAGACCTTGTTAGATGGTTACTTTGCTAATATGCCATTAAGATTTTGAGTTTTCCACTACCTTCAACAAAAACTCAAAGGTTCACAAGTCATTGATGAAAGGAAAATTCAAAATTAATGATTATGAAGTTAGTGAAATAAATAATCAACCTTTAGGAGTTGTTTTTCAAGGGACGAATATGAAGGGAAGGAAAAAGAAGTTTTTCTTCCGCACTGACGATATAGAAAGATATTATCTCCATAATCTTTCTAGTATGCTTCTTCGTATCAACAATTACAAGAAGAATTCAAATAAAGATAGAGTGGAGATTAGGAAGATCATCATCTGGTACATGGAAATTAGAAGAGTTTTGGTACAAGTGATAAAGACACTACCTACAATTTGAAGATTTGATATTGATCACAAAGGGGAAGAATGTAGAGTCTTATTTTTTGTTATATATCGAAGCCTTAGGTAGTGGTCTTAGTAGCGAAGTGTTAATAAATATTGAAGGTTAACATGACTTTGATTGTGTATGTATTTTACTAGGTGCTTTTGTAGGTTCACTTTTAATGTCGAAGTCCTAGTATACTTTATGCATCCGTTGAGTACACTATAAATAGTGTAGGTACATAAGTCTTTTGTAACTTTTTCAACTAGTGAATTAAGCTTTCTATCTGTATAATTGTCCTTGTATCTCTTCCGGATAATATGAGTTGAATCAAGATCTTATTTGAATTCTATGTTCACATTAACTTTGATTTCTTTTACGATTGATTAAATACAAATTTTCACTTCCCACACTCTCCTTCCATTTACAAGCTTTGTAGACTGCCATCATTTGCTAATTGTTGGATGTTTCATCCATACTAGCTGGTATACGGTCGCTGATTAGTATGTCTCCATTTTTTCAATATGGAATCCATAAAGGTCAGGAGTAAGATGAAATATATTAGATCTATGAAGTAGAGGAGTTGGAATTATGTTAGTTTTTCAACAGTTGATAAACATCTGGTTGAATACCAGTTCCAACCACCAGTCCTTCGTTTGACTCTTGAATCTCTTCGAGATCTGAGGGGCTCAAGTAGCATCATTGGATATGATCTTCCTCTAGAGGAAGAAGCCCCTTCGAGATACAAACACTTTGTTCTCATAATCATTTAGAGCAAATATTCTAAATAGTTTTGATAATAACCCACGAAGTAACACTTTTCTGCACTAGGTTATAGTTTGTTGTTATCCTCAAGACAAATGAAAACTTCACAACCTCATAATTTCAAATATGAAAGATTAGGAGGTTTCACATTCTATATTTTGGATGGTGTCTTTGGGATATTCTTGATTGATAGGAGGTTTGATATATTTGCGGCTTTCTCTTGGGGATAACTGCAGAAACTAATTGGAAGCGTAGCCCATCCTTATGGACCGAACCATATCTAATAACATTCGATTTATTCTCTAATCAACACCATTAAGTTGTGGTGTTATGCAAAGAGAAAATTATACAAAAATTCCTTAATACTTTAGATGATTGATAAATTGCAAACTAAATTATTCTCCACCCCTGTCAGATCAGAGCATCTTGACCCTTTTGCCCAGTTGGTTTTCAACTTCCTTCTGGAATTTTTTGAAAATTTCAATTTTTTTTGACTTATACTTCATTAGGTAAATATAGACATATCTACTAAAATTATCACTAAAAGTCACAAAGTAATGTTCACCATCATTTCTGGAGGATTTGAATGGTACACATACATCAGTGTGGATTCATTTCAATAAATCCACGCCTCTTACATAGTTTCCTGTGAAAGGTGTTTTATTCATCTTTCCAAGTAAGCAAGACTTTTATACATCATTTGACTTTAATTTAAATCAAATGATTCAGAGATCCCATGCCTTTTGGAGCATCTGAATGACCCACATACATTAGTGTGGATTAAGTCTAGCAAATCCTTGCCTCTTTCACAGTTTCTTGTTAAAGGTGCTTTGCTCATCTTACCAAGTAAGGCTCGCTTGAATCCAAATAAAATGATTCAAATTCCCATTCTTTTGGACCTTAGCGATGTGTTTCTTGTTAACATTCCAAAGACGACATCGCCACAAACACAATTTCTCCAATACTGTCACACCCCCAAACCAGAACGGCGGAAGCGTTCGGGAGCGGATGACTTCATGTGGTAACGTAACAAATGAATACATAGTAAAGAAAGCAATACAACCATCATATATATAATTGAAAGTTTACATTGTTCAAAAGAGTACATGTTCAAAACCAATTACAATATGATGCCAAAAATATGAATTTAAACTGGCGTCGCAGCGTTCCTTCTTCAAAAAGCTATTTGATACTTGCAATTACTGAGTCCTTGGGACATACAAGTAGTTTTGAAAGAGTAGATCAACATTTAAGCTGGTGAGTTTCATAAGTATTTAAATGATAGTATTTGTATGAACTAAAATGAAATGGTTTGTTTTTGTTTGTTAGTTTCTAGAAAATCCCATATTTCCTACTGGTATAAATGTAGCCTTAAATCAAAACCAATGTTTGTTAGAAAGTTGATGTTTTTCAATATGTGAGTAGTGGTGTAGAAGTTCCAAACTTGTATCACAATTAGGTTTGTCATGCCTAAAGTCGTTAATTTATGTACGTATAAAACCTCCAATACGTCTGAAAAACCCCGTAAATCAATGTGTTTTTAATACTCTATGTGAGTTTTATAACCATGCTATTGAATAGAAATGCCTATACACAACGTTTTTTAGGCGTTGGAATGTTCTGACGTTTGTCACCCAAAATGGTGTACTGTAGCTAATAGTTAGGGTACGGGGTTGTCAATCCCATATAGATTTATACACAAACACCATGCTCCCCCTCCAAGGGATTTTGGTATATAATATAGGACTTGAAATGTGTACTCGAGCGTACGTGAAGTTTAATGTCTCACAAAACTTAGTATAAAACATATTTATGTGTGAAAATGTTCGTTTGTTCGTGTATATGAAAGTAACTTCTTGAAATAATATTTCCAGTATGTAAGAGTTCGTAGTGTTCTCGCAAAAACTATACCTATTATAGTTTCCTAAAAGTGTTTTTCGTTTGTATAATAATCCCTAGTGAAAATGCTCACTTGTTATGAAAAGTATAATTTTTGTAGTGCCAAAACTGGACACATATACCTGTAGTATAAACAGAGTGTTTGATTTGCATAAATACATAAATCATTTCTTATTTCAAAAGATAAGATGTTATCGTGGTATAATTTGCATACGAAAGTTTCCCTATAATGGTTATAAATCACGTATGATTCCACTGATAAAAGCGTATAATGAAACTTTATTATATAATACACGATAATAATCGAGTGTTTTACTTGTATTCCCCCCTTAAAAGCATATAAAAATATTTATAAAACATTTAAAATTGTGGATAGTAGGGGTATGAACTCACTTGAAAGATCGAAGAAGGCGAGATGAAAACCGGACAGAATTTCGACTCGAGAAAGCGGATTTTCTCGGGATTCTCGGGAATCTCAGGAGCACAAACGACCTTCGGGACTTGAGCAAGGTAACCGGGACTTCGGGATAGCATGTGTACGGAAAACGAGGAAAAAACGCAAGAAAGATGAGAGGAATTGGTCCTTCTCTTTGGAACCCTCGCATCCCTTTTATAGGGGGTGGGAACCGCCTCGGTACGCGGGCGTACGCGAGTACGTTGGGCGTACTCGTGCATCACGCGTGACTGCAT